TGCCTTGCTCACTTTAGTTATGAGAAATCAAACCATAAGTTAATGGTCCTTGATATCCAGGGCACAGGCCACAAGCTGTATGATCCTGAAATAGCCTCCTCAGAATTGGTTGAAAATGATGAATTCCTGTTTTCGACAGGTAACCTTTCTCAAACAGCTATAAATTGTTTTGTTAGCTGTCATCATTGCAATATTTACTGTAAAAGCTTACAGTTGCAAGAACTAATTAAGCAGTAGGCAATGTCATAGATTCATTTTGCTGGTTTGACAGTTAATGTTTGAAGTTTCGATAAAACTGACTGTGGTTTAAACTTAAAGTTAAGGTTTCTGTCTGGCACAGACTACAGGGTATAATCATGAAATAGTGTACATGTATTTGGAATTGGTTGAAAATGATAAATTCCTGTTTTCCATAGGTAGCTTTTCTCAGACAGCTATTGGGATTGTTGTTTGTTAGCTGTTACAAGTGTAACATTTACTGTACTTTAAGGTTTGCAAGAATTTAAAGTAATAGACAGTGATTCAGTTTACTGGTTTTAAAGTTACTGTTTGAAATTTTGATGAAACAGACTAATGAATGGTATCAGCATTTTCTAGTATTTGTACTCAGTTTTACCTCACAGTTTCTTGCAGAAAAAGTTAACGGTAAATAGTCTTAACAATTTAAAGACTACATTGTTGTACCCAATGTTTGTTACAGTTAATAATGGCAAGGGAGGTATGAATGAGGTCATTTATAAGTTTCAATTTTAACCAGAAAAGTTTTAGCAGCATAGCCGATAATCCACCCCCAGCCTCCTGTCTTCAAAAAGGTCTTTTTCATTAACTTTTACTTCTAACAATTCCTAATTCTCCCTCTAACAAAAAGTCACAATACAGTTTGTAACCCCCCCACCCAGAAAAAAAAAAGAATTCCTTGCCATGCAGGAGTAGGGGCAATAAAGGTCTTTGTGGCTTTCCTTTACTCCCCCTCCCATTGGTAATAACATAAGTAGTATTTTCGTTTAATACATGGTGTATGGTGTCATGAAAAAAAAAATTAATACAGCCCTAAGACAGGGTGTTTAGCTGCTGGTTACTTCTAATTGCATGCAATAAAGAATGTTTGTTGGACTGTCTCTGTCTCGTTAAGTAATTTGACCTACTGCAAACTTAGCCCATTCTCACTTCAAACCCTGTACTGTCCACATGGAACCATTCCCCTTGAACCACTTACAGATGTCCTCAATTTTAAAACCAACTTGAATTCTGCCTTCTGTGCATACCAGAACTTAAAGCACTACCATTTGGCATCAGACACCAAACCCACTAGCATAGTGCTTAACTTGTAAATGACAATCTAGACAAATTTGCCTATTTTGGCCAGATAGTAAACTGAAAACAGTTTAAAAATAGCTTTTCAAGTTTGGGTATGTACAGAAGGCAAAATATTGTTATGTTTCTCCTATTTGTTGCTTCTCTTGCCTTTCTGTCTATTTTTGGGGGGCTGTGCTTTTACTAGGCTTCACTCCTGTTGGAAACGGTTTTACAGAAAGTAACCTGACAATATTTATCAAGAAGTATGGGAGGGTAGTGGGACAAGATAATCCATTCAATTTTTGTTTCATACCATGTATGTAACTATGTATGGGCTATTCGACCATATTGCACACAATGAGGCATTATGTCTTTCTCTCAAACACAATTTTGTAAGCATACATTGGTGCAAGGAACATGGTTTACTTTTTTGAAGAAAATTTATTGCATACAAAACATATGCAGCGCCTTATTTTGTAACTTTTCCTGTATACTCAGAATAGCACAGTTAATACAACGGACGGAGATCAGACCATGCAACAAGTACTTACAATAATATGTTAAAAACAATGGAAAAAAAAAAAAAAAAAACAAAAGGTGACCATGGTCATTAACATGACTCGATGGTTTAGGACATTTTTCAACTACAGAGCTTTATCAGGGAAAATTTGATAGCTGTTAGTAATTTTGGATATGTGGTTAACAAATTTGTGAGCTTTTGATGAATGGCAGTTATCGGCCACCATACCAGTGTAGTAAGCAATAGGTTTGGTTTCTCAGTTGATTTATATATTAAACTAAAATAATAAATATTATCTTTCTGAGCTAATACTCATGAACAATTCAAGATGTGGTCACTGAAGGGAAACGTGAACCTTCACTCTTCACAGTTCCATGAATTTTTCCTTAAGATGTAGAAATGCATCTTTGCATTCATTTGGTTGAACTTGGTTAGGATATGGAATAATTTCCTCACACTTTGATCTAAATGTAGCATCTAAAAAGTCATCTTCAACTGACAGAACACCAGAATGAAGTGCAGCCTCTTTCAATTCATCTTCTGTTACAGGCCAACCTGTAAAAAATGGCATTTTTAACAACACTCGGTTACAACGAGGAAACAGCAAACAACAAAATGTAAACAGAAAACAACCAAAGGCTAAATGACAGAAAAGATGGCACATTAAATCTTTTCTTAACTAAAATATTGGCCAATAAAGATTCAATCTTCAATTTTCTTTGCCTACCACATCCAATGGTCGGTAACAGTAGTAGTTTTAAGGGCATATGGTCCTTACATTTATCAACTGGTTTGTGTTTGTACTTTCTACTGTAAACGGCCACTTATAAGCCATCCCCCCACATCCCCCTTCCTCACTTATAAGCCCTCTAGGCTACCAGTAAACAAAAAATACATCTGATTGTAAGCCCCTTCCCTTCCCCTGGATATAAGCCTGACCAAATCCCCGAAGTTGTGAAAGACCAGGGCTTTTTAGCTGTTGTTTACAGTGTTACAAGGATGTCTATTTTTAAAGTGAAAATATGCACAGTCATACCACACTCTTCTAGGCCTTATGTTTCAGGAAAGTTATAAATGTGATCAGGGATTCCATCTGGCAAAGCTGTATCTTTCTGTGTTCTTATTTTGTGACTGTTCCATACAACTGTCCTAAACAGATCTAGTTCTTTCTGCACTACTGGTATGAGAAGAAAAGCCAAGAGCATCCTGACAGGAGAAATTAACACAGATTTATTTCATCAAAGGTTTTACACTGTATAGATACGTTTATTTTGACAAATATTTATTGTCAATAATTATCCTTGACACATTTGGAATTTGCCTAAAAAGTTTGTGACTTTAATTTTAGACCATGAGTAGATTTCCCTTGGGGAGGGGGACTCCCATGAGTGCTAGACTCAAGCTTTACTTGATCCCTTAAATACATTAAAAATAAAGCACAGTACCAAATAAGAGCTATATATTAATAGTAATCACTTTTAATAATGTGTGATAAAGGCATTGTCATAAAATCGGCTTTTTCTTTCCTTTTTTAGTCCTCTGGTTTCTTTATTACACACCATAAAGTAACATCCGACCAGGTGAAATAGGCATTCCATCATGAATACTCTAGACAGCTTTAAGTGTCACCAAAACATGCAATCTGCAACCCCAAACAACATAACAATGCATCCCTGCCCCTTCATAATGGGATTTTCCCCCACACCTCCACATAGCCTGCGAGCAAGCTCTCTGGGAAAAGGAAGGAGAGCTTACAACTACATCGCTGGAATTTGAATATCTGCATTGAAAAAGTTGATGCGAAATGCTGATTGGTGGAAATGACATTATGAAAGACGTCATTACCCTTGGCACGTGTTTCTTAGTATTTGTTTACATTTGCACTCATTTCCACATAGTGCTGATTGGCGGAAATACGACAGCTAAGTCGACAGGGAGCCACAGACGAATTGGAGGTGGAATTCAAATTCCAGAGACGTAGTTGCAAGCTCTTCTTCCTTTTCCAGCCCGCTGCTAGAGGGCCGGTTGAGCTTGCTCTCAGGCTACCTTCCCAGGATCAAGTCAACCTTTTCCTTGCTTTTAAAAAATAGACAAATAAAACAAGCAGAAATTGTGTTCACTCTAACCCCATGTCTTTATCAGGTCTATTCTATAATTATTATATGTACCTGTCTCTCTCACTATGTGGATTATAATGACCTCGGTCCTTTAACCAGTTGAGTTGCTCCTTGAAATATTTTTCCATTCTCTCGTGGAGTTCCCCTCCACCATCTCTCGATCTTTAAAAAAATTATCAAAAATGGTCCATTATGCACTATAATGCAAAGAAAAACATAGAAAAAGCAACCTAATATGACAACTCCAGTTGCATTCACACTTCTTTTTAACCGATACATAAAATAAGTACACAAACAAATAAGTGCTTACTTGATTTGATGTCGATGGCCCGTAAATGATCGATTCACATGGGTCATCCATATCATCATGGTTTCTTCGCAAGAAGGCATGTATCGTTGCCATCGTGCCGGTCTCTGTTCCTCTGTCCAGCCTTATCATTGAAGGCATAATTCTAGCCTCATATAAATACTCCAAATACCAACGGCCAATTACCTTGGGGTCGCTGTTAGTGACCCAGATCCGCAGCCATAACAGCTTTCTACTAGCAGGTATCGATGCAGCCATATACTGCTAATGGGAAAGTGCTGTTTTAGTAGCCCATTAGTTTATCATGGCCATCTAGAGAATGGACCCAGTTAGGGCCTTTTGTTGTAAAACTTCCCTTGGGGATTGTTTTCTTTTTGCTAACTGGTCCACGGGCTTCCAGACCCTTCGGGGCGAGGTCATACATTGCCGCATGAACTAAATCTCGTGGAACATTGAGATCATGAACTTGTCGAACTTTTCGGTGCATTGCTCTGTATTCTAACTGTTTTCCTGGTCCGTCAAGCTCCTTTTTTACAACATCTTTAACTTCCTCCACCGACACATTTTTGTCATTGTACTGTATATCAAAGTGACGAAGGCGTCTGTCGACAGTGCGAAGGCTCCATGCATATTGGGCAAAATCCCTTTTCAAAAAATCTAACATTTCTCTCCGTTGAAAACCCTGTTTTACATATTTAGCCGTTTCTTCTTTGAGAACGATGTCTTCTTTCCAACCATCATTTCGAAAATATGCCGCCATAATGCCCGTCACTGCGTTCCAGTCCCTCCCCAAATTTGAATGGCAGTTCCCGGTGTCACAGCGTTTTGGGCATCCCCGCGTTTTGGGCATCCCCATTCCCAAATCCCTAGCGTTTTGGGCATCCCCTTCTCATATTACTGCAGCGTTTTGGGCATCCCCTGGTACCCTCCAGGGATGCCCAAATCCCTAGTGTTTTGATCATCCCCTCCCAAAAAAATGCTGGATTTCGCGCGAAAATCGAAAACGTTTAAGAGATGGCTTCCGCTAAATATAGAATTTCCAGTATCTTAAAAAGAAGGCTTATCCGGAAGGCTTTACAAAGAAAAAAAAACAAGTCTGCGAAAATTTGCCAAAAAGTACTAGTATGACTCAAAATTAGAGTCCTTGTTCTATGTGGCCAAGGAGAAGGCAGGCGCGGATCTAGGATAAATACTGAGCGTTTTCCAAAACGAGCGTCGAAGGCGTAAGCTTCTAGGGGGGTCCGAGGTATGCACCCCGTGAATTTATTATTATTATTATTTTTTATTTTTTTATTTTTTTTACTCCCCAAAGTCGCTTTTCCTGGGTTTCTGAGTCATTCAGTCAGGATATTAGCCGGATTTTAACTTGGAAAGTTTTTTTTCACGAAAATTTATTTATGTATGAAAACTCTGACCGATGTTCGTAAAACGGTGGAAACCGGTGTGGATCCGCGCCTGGAAGGATTGCACAGCGCTTCGACGACTTGTTATCACCGAGGAAGAGAAAGCGAGGGTCTTCGAAGAGTGCCACTCTGCTCCTTTCTCTGGACACGCCGGCCGCGATAATACTTTTGCACCTTGTGAAGGTTGTTCCCAAGGTGTGGTGGTTGGTCGGAATAAAATTAATAGAAGCCCCTACTATGTCTCCAAACGGCAACAGATTTCTTCTGTCCCGTAGGTGCAAGATCACGAGGCCTCTGTATAAATTGTGTGACAGCCTTTAGTGTGTCAAGTAGCGCTGCGGGGTTAAGAGGCCTCAAATGTCATGCATACTATGAATTCAACACCGCAAAACGCAGTTTTATTCATGTTTGTCTTTTGATTGCTTTGTTTAGTATTCTTGTTTTTGGCTGTTTGGAATCAGACGATCGCAGCTGCCGGCGATTGCGGCATTTCTCGCTGGTAAACAGTTCTATTAAATAAAATTGAAGCTTTGCAAACAATGAAGTGTTGTCAGTTGTGTTGTACAGAGAAGCGATGTTATGCGGTTGTAAATTTCAGTTTCGTCATGTTTTGAGCCAACGTTTACTGCCTATGGGTTTTTCTTCTGCGCAATAAACCCGGCGAAACGGTGTCAGACGATATAATTCTAACATGCATCTACACCTTTCAGCCGTAAATTCGTGATTGACAATCCCGACTTCTCCCCAGTCTGAAATAATTTGGGCAAAGTCGAAGCGATCAGCGTTTTGGGCATCCCCCACCGGGGATGCCCAAAACGCTAGGGATATGGGAATGGGGATGCCCAAAACGCGGGGATGCCCAAAACGCTGTGACACCGGCCGTGAACAAATTAATTTTACTTTTTCTGTTTTGAATGGCAGTTCCCGGCCGTGAACAAATTAATTTTGCCTTTTTTTGTTTTGAATGGCAGTTCCAGGCCGTGAACAAATTATTTTTACTTTTGCTTTTATTCACTTTTATTTTTATTTTCATTTCATAGTAAAAATATTTTCTTTTGTTTTGAAAATAATAATAGAGAAGAATCTATTTCCAGTTCAATAAAAAACAAAATGTTTTTACATTGTACTTTCACTTTATTTCCAATACAAAATAATTAAAGTTCGATCTAAAATTAACAAATTTATGTGCTTTTGACGAATGGCAGTTATCGGGGATGTTACTAAAACGGGGAACGGGGAGCGGGGAGCGGGGAACGGGGAACGGAAGTCTGGGAACGAGTTGTCAGCGGAAACCTCCATAAAAATCCAAAATGGCCGGTAAGGATCAAGAACCCGGTAAGATCGATGATAGAGAAGCATCGAAACAACACTTAAGGTCGCTATTTTACTAATGAACTATATGCTCATGAGGTGCTTGAAATAATACGGAGGTAATAATGTCATGACATTTTTCACCTTTTTGCGTTTTACTAAACAACAAAATATGTTCCAACAGCAGTTGAAAGAAGCTACAGTCGGGACAAAAACTCTCAAAGCACAGCCATATTTGGAACTCAAGCGAATCTATACTGGATCTAACTCACAAAGCAATGAACTACTTTTGCTTGACGCTTGTCGTAGGGTTTTGGCTTAAATACATGCTGAAAGATAACGTAGATCGAAGCAGCCAGGTGTATTTCCTCGACAGTAATAGTGTAGCAGTGGAGCTCCTTCCTAGCTGTAGCGTTTTTTCAAGCCCAAATCAAAACATGTTGGCGATGAGATAAAACTGTAAGTCTAATAATATTATATTTACAAACCTATGATGAGAAGTAAGTGCAATTGTATTATTTTAAAAGATAAGATGGATCAGGTTATTTAATACATCAATAAAAGGCAACTTTAAACATATTAACGGGCAATGTGCCAGGAACATCAATCATACGTTGCTTTTAAAATGTCAGTTGTTTCAAAGCAAATGGCTATGCTGTGGTTTTATTTTATTACAACCTAGGTTTAAATTTTGCTTCCCTTTGTTTGGGGGTACGGTAATATGAATTTTATGATTATGAGTTCAAAACAAAGAGAATAAAATTCAAACTTAGGATAAAAGTGAACCACAACTGAGCTGCAATATTAAGTGTTGAAGTATACGTGGGGGAAGTACTTTAAAGTCATTGGTTGGAAGGTACTTTCTAAAGGCTAGCTGTTAAAATATGCATGGTAAGGGTACTTCCTCTGTTTAGCCCTCTGGATGCTTTTTTTTTTCTAGGGGGACTCCTTTAATGTTTTTGCAGAGGGGAGCTCTGCTTCTCTTTAATGAACATTATTTTTACTGTGGAAAAAAATATTTCAAGCTCAGTGTAAAACTGAATGTATCAGTGACTTAAACCAGTAAATATTGTCAAGCGGCTTTATTAGCTTGATTCAGTAATATTGCAGTGTACCTACCATCAAGCATCACATCATCAATGTTGCAGAGGTTGGCAGCTTATTAGAAGGTGGTTGATAAGCTTTCAAGCAAGCTGTCTGTAGTTTTGGAAATAAAGAGTCTAAGGTCTCACACAAGTGATGGGAAGCAAAAGATTGGAGTGCCGATATGTTTTTCAGTAAACACGTGCAACTGTATGTGTATAGTGGCCACATTACACTTACTCAATGCATGTAAAAAAACACAATAGATCTTGCTACCCATTTTCCCCGACTTTATTTCCCCTCCAGGGGAAATAATTTCTTTTAACATTTCAGGGTTTTCAAAAAAGGGGCAAGAAGCTTTTAAATGAATTTTAATTCATTTAATGAAGCACAGTATCAAAGAAATTAAAGAGAAGAATCAGACTAGAGTAACAGTAACCCTGAGGGGAGGGGGAGGGGGGTTACCCACCAAAGAGGCTCTGCCCCAGGGACCAGCCCTTTACCCTTTGTATGTACCATTTTAGACAGAAAAGGTACCCCTTTTGTATACACTCTAGTGACAAATGGTACCCCTTTCACATACCTAATTTTGAACGCTGCATCCCTTTTTAACTGCTGTAAATACACCATCTTTACAATATGAATAAATAGCTAAAACAGGTTTTCTTGTCTCTCACATCCATAAAATGCATCTGTGACTGATCTCATTTTGGTCCCTTTCATATACTTCAACTATGAAAACCCCTTCCCTTTCATGTACCTGAAGCCTGAAAAAGGCTTCAGGTTCTGTTTAGGCCATTATAGTACCCCCTCCTCCTGCTCCGAGAACAGTACTTGATACAGCGATATTGTATGGTATGAATTGCACCAAACGTTTCGTGCCCATGAAGAGGTACTTTGATTATTTTACGACATTTTTCTTCAAAAGGGAGGGGTTTGGGATCTCATTCTTAGGGGGGAGGGGGGGTTATTGAGGATCTGCAGTGAGTGAGAATGTTGCATTCAATGCAATCCAATGGTTTTGATTCAGGAAAGGGTCGTCAGGGGTATTTCGCAAAAAGACAAATGGCCACTGTACGACTTTGAAGCAGCTACTGATTAGTGTGAGGAAAATGAATGAATTAGGTTCCATTAGGGTCATTATACTGGTCTATACTGGGCAAACTGACCTGAAACAAATTGTTTCACAAAATAATAAAATGATATTATTTTATTTTCATGGATCAGTGAAGCACTTCAATATCGTGAATGCTTGCAGTGTAGTGGATCTAATAATATTAAAAGCAGAACCAGATTGTTAAAGTAGTCTTACTAATTATGTGATGACGTGGTCAATAACATTTTTCAAACCAGTCATCTCTATCCAAGAAAATAGAAGAAGTCTGCACACAAGCTACTTGACTACTTCGATGTATGTTCTCTATCATGGAAAAGTAGTTCATTGCTTTGTGGGCTAGACTCAGTATAGATTCGCTTGAGTTCCAAATATGGCTGTACATGTGCTTTGAGACTTTTTGTCCCGATTGGCTTCTTTCAACTGCTGTTGGAGCATATTTTGTTTCCTACGGATAATTGTTTAGTAAAACGCAAAAAGGTGAAAAACGTCATGAAGTTATTACCTCCGTATTATTTCAAGCACCTCATGAGCATATAGTTCAAGTAAAATAACGCCGTTATCGGTTAAGTTTGTTTCGACGGTTCTCTATCATCGATCATCGGCCATATTGGATTTTTATGGAGGTTTCCGCTGACAACTAGTTCCCAGACTTCCGTTCCCCGTTCCCCGCTCCCCGCTCCCCGCTCCCCGCTCCCCGTTCCCCGTTTTAGTAACATCCAGTTATCGGCCACCATACAACGTGCTTTTCAATGTTTTCAGAAAAAAAACCCTCAAGAATATAGGATTTCTAGGAAAATTGAAAACAACTTCTGACATTACTGGACTATTGGGTTTGTCTCCCGTACT